CCACACACACACACACACACACACACACACACACACACACACACACACACACTCACTCACACATTCACACACACACACTCACACACACACACACTTGTTTTGAAGCGCTGCTCACTTTATGTAATAGCTGTTTTATTAGAGACGCATTTGTAGTGTTTTTAAACCACAAGCTAATTGGTGTTTTTGTGTTCCCGTTCACAGATGTCTGCTGCAGGGTGCAGAACTGTGTCTGGCCAGCGGCATGTGCTGCGGTCTCGTTGGGCGTAACGGACTCGGTAAGACCATTCTGTTGAAGATGCTAGCGAGCCGCAGCTTGCACGTCCCTTTGCACATCTCCATTCTGCACGTGGAGCAGGAGGTGGCTAGAGACGACACCGTGGCTCTACAGAGCGTTCTAGAGAGCGACACGGTTCGAGAGGAGCTGCTGAAAGAGGAGCGCACACTCAACGCACACATCGCCAATGGAGCGTACGTTACACCTGCACTGTGCACTACATCACACATTTAGAGTCCATAATCCATAATAACACTTCCTCCAGTGAAAAAGTCCATCTCCTGTTCTCTCTCACATCAAAATCCAGTTTAGAGCTGTTTAAACGCTGCTTGATCTGTGCAGATTTCTCTCCTGATTCACTCCAGAACACTTTTTCACTGGAGGAAGCATTATTATGGATTATAGACTCATATTTGAGTTAAAATCATCTTAATGCTGGATTAGTTTCAGCTTTTGTCTTCTCCAGACGTTAACTGATGGACTGGAGTGCTGTGGATTACTTGTGGATTATTGTGATGTTTTTATCAGCTGTTTGGACTCTCATTCTGACGGCACCCATTCACTGCAGAGCATCCATTGCTGAGACACTGATGCAGTGCTACATTTCTAAAGCAGATTATTCAAAGGGGTCATATGATGTTGCTAAAAAGAACATGATGTTGTGTATTTGGTGTAATGAAATGTGTTTATGCGGTTTAAGGTAAAAAAAAAAAAAAAACATTATTTTCCACATACTGCACATTATTGTTTCTCCTCTATGCAAACTGTCAAACATTTTTAATTTTGTGTCTGGTCACTATTATTAATGGTTTTGTATATAATAGTAATGAGAGTGCGAAAAGTTGCATTATAAAATTATGCATTTTTGTCTTCTCACTGACTGAAGAAATGCTCTATTTATTTATAAATGTAAGCCTATCACACTTTCAGAAAATTTCTTAAAAACTTGCGCAACACCAATTTCTACGTTTTAAAACGGTCATGAAAGACATTGAGTGAGTCAAGTTAATATGAGGGCTAAGCAATGGAGAAAACAGACAGGTAAAAAGCTTGATGCTCTGTTGGACAGCAAAAGTTTAACAGGATCTTACCAACATCTTCCCACCAAACCTTGAAGTTTTTATTTACTTTTCAGCAGGGATGGAAATGTTTCCTCTAACTACACGATCATAAGATTGGATGAAAATAGCAAGCTTTGCAAGACCAAGGAAAAATATTCTATGATAATATATGACAAATGCATGCACAATTAAATGGGATAATTAAACGACATGAAAATAAAACACATGTATGGTTGTTCTCATGGAGTCATCTGGATTTACCAGTGAACTGGATTGGATCTGAGCTCATCTCAGAGGTGTCGTCATAGCAACAGCTCTCTAAGCACAAACGACTTATTTCACATAATCAGGATTATATCATGGCTTAACGAGCGGAGGCGATGCTGGCAGTCTGTCCCAGTCACTGCACCATTCTAATGACAACTGGGGCAATAATAATTTTGAATATGGTTGGACCATTGGAGAGTGCCTTGCTTTTGATGTTACAGATTGATTCACCAGTGATGATTTATAAACCCCAAGTGGTCCTAAAATAAGCGTTTTTGTTTTTTTTTAAAATGCAAAATGTGATTTCTCACAAGCGTGAAATAGGACCAAGCATGCGTTCATAAGATGTATCCATATAATATACATTTAAACACACAAAAAAATGTGTTCGGTTTCAGAAAGCCTTTTATTTATCAACAGTAAAAAGTGTTATGTAGAATGAAAAATATAGTGGCAACATGCATTTTTCAGGGGGCAGCTGTTTAATGGTCATATACACAACAAAGAGCCCATTGTTCTGCATATTCATGTTAGGATTTCCCTCTTTAAGACATTTAGCAAACCTACTGATGTCAAAACACAAATATTTGAAACTTAAAATGCAACAGAGTGCCATCTTTGTCAAATACAAGCAGATTTTGTGTCACCCTTCAGCTTCACATTGACTAGAGTATTTGCACACCATATATTATTAGGATATTTTTTTATGTTTCATCCAGGCACATTTGACTGGATGTGAATCATTCGCTCTTTTAATGTAGATCCTAATCTATTTAAATGAGTCGTAAGAGAAACACTATTGTTCTAGTTGCATGAAAATAATCCATATTGTTTAAAAGTTTACATAAAAATGAAAACGTTTAAATGTTATAAATGTTTTCAACAAATTCTTGGGATGTAACACACGTTATCTCACACATCTGTCTCTGATATGTCTTTTATGAATAAATACTACACTTGGGGATGGGCTGAAAGAAAAGCTCAGGTTAGATCTTGTGCTCTTACGTCACTGTGTCATCATAATCAGTTTAGCACCAAATCGGACACACATACATATATATATATATAATGTGACCCTGGAGCACAAAAGCAGTGTTAAGT